CATGCAAGAGAAAGAACAAAGCTTTAGAGTACAGTAGGCAGATTGTAAATCACTCTAACACTATTAACCATTCAAAACATACTGTCAAATTAGCAAAGCATCGATTATCTCTGCACTCTAAAAACTTCTTTGTAATTACTCATAACTCTGCAATACTCCCTCGAATCTTCCAACAAACAACCAGTGCAGCAAACTCAATTCATACTATTCTCTACTTATCAATCCTCTTTTTAAAAATTTTCATATAAGAAAACAGCAGAATGATGTGGCATTTCAATTATTTCCCTTTTCCATCAGTGGAAATTGTCCATTACAATTCAAACTTAAATCTAAACCCCCCATTTCAAAGCATAAGTCTAGTTTAAGGAATATAATTTCAAAGTCGGTCTGTAATTCATACCACAGCCCGTAATTACACAAGAATATTCAATTAAAATTACTGTCATTTGCCTGGAAGCAACTGCAGAACTTCAGCTAGCTTCATTTATACAACTGACACATGATTTCTGAATGCACTTCCAGTTGAAGTGGGACAGTTGGATTACTCATGCTCAGATTCTGCCAGATAACACCATAAAGAGCTGCAAAAAAGTCTTTCCAAAATTTTACAAGTCCAATCAAGTATGTCTCTTAAGAAAAGCTTGTTTTAAAAAGCAAAGAGTAATAAAAAAGCTAGTTACCAGTCAAACATGCTGTCAGCTAACTAAGGCTTAAGAAATTACTTCTTTTCAAAACAATTGCCAAGTTTATCAGGCAATTAAAATTTCACAGCTCAGTGAAGCTCTCTGAATCTTTGGGATCCAACCTGAGTTGTTCCTACAGGCTGCATTATACACATTATACACAAGCACTTGTAACTTCTGCAATAAATAGAGACCAGCAGTTCGACTAAACCAGTCAGAAATTCGGAGCTAATCTCAGAGCACGTCTTGAGTTTATTTGCATCTTCTGGAACAGGATCTGAGCCTTCTTAGTTTTCAGTTCTTATAGTGCCCTTAGGACTCTACATGCTTTGACTAAACTTTACAACAAAATTTAAAAGTATGACCTTCGCTCACTCCTCCAGATTAAGAAGGCTGGAATGAAACTAAACAAAACATTTCTTTATCACTCAAGATTCAGGTATGTGCTCCCATGCTCAGTAGTTACAAAGAAACAAATGCTGAGAAGGTCATTTGGTCTGTTCAGCCTGGAGAAGAAGAGACTGTGGGGAGATATCACAGCTGTCTGTCTGCAGCTTCCTCACAAGGGGAAGAGGAGAGGCAGGCACTGATCTCTTCTCTGTGGTGACCAGTGAGAAGATCCAAGGGAATGATCTGAAGTTGTGTCAGGGGAGGTTTAGGTTGGGTATTAGGAAAAGGTTCTTCATCTAGAGGGTGGTTGGGCACTGGAACAGGGTGCCCAGGGCAGTGATCACAGCACCAACTCTGACAGAGCTCAAGGAGCGTTTGGGCAACACTCTCAGACACATGGTGGGATTCCTGGGACTGTCCTGTGCAGAGCCAGGAGTGGATTTCGATATTCCTTGTGGGTCCCTTCCAACTCAGGATATTCTGTTCTATCCGACAACTTTTCAACTACAACTAAACCCAGCATATAACAGCCTACACAAAATTTTACATTTACAGTGGAACTAGTTTACCTGCCATTCAAACTCACTGTCTGACCAATCCCAGTATGTGCTGATAGAAGAAGAGACATCACTGCAGACACTGCCCTCGGGGAACAAATCAAAAGAGGTGAACTCCTGGTCATCCAACAGAGAGTAACAGTCATCCTGATCACCAACAGAAACCGATGAGAACAGCTCCTCACTGCACTCTGAGCTGGCGACGCTGGTTCCACAGGATGTCAAATTCCACCTGCAAAACATGACAAAACAATTAGAAAGCAGCAAACGTTGGCATCAACTGGCCTGAAAAATTCTTTTAAGCCTTTTAAAACTATCTCCACTTTGCTTGCATTATACATGGATTTTACTGAAGTTATAATCATAGAAATTGAAGTATTCTAGTTTTAAATATTTTTTTAAGTCCATAAACAACACCAAGGGGAACCCAAGGTCAAAAATGGCCAGGCAAAAATCCACACACAGTTAGTATAATTACACCTTTATTTTAATATATTATCATTTTCCACCCCAGAGCCACGACTCCTCTAGTATGTGAATTGCTTTTTTTTGCTGTTGGTTGGATTTCCAAAATACATGGATCTAAAAATAAAATTTTCCATATGTTTAGATATTTAAACTTTCATGTAAATTGAAAAAAGCAGAACTAAGAAGTTAATCAATCAGACATCAGGATAAATAGAAGTCAAAAAGAAATTCTAGGCTGATAATCCCCCACAAAACTGAGGCTTAATAAGGAAACACATTATGGATTCATTATTCACAACTCTGAATGTCAAAAACATTGGACATGCTATTGGAATAAAACAGTGCAAGATGGGAAAATGACCTGTGTGAAAATGCTACCATGCCAAAACTAAACACTTTTCCCCCCTCATTATCTCATTTATAAAGCTAGTTAATGCTGTTGCTAAAGGAAGCTATTGAGGACTCAATTTTCACAGAACAGGTTTTTTGCTCTAATGAGAGTAAGTCAGAATTTAACAAGCTCATGAAATCAGTCTCCATATCTGGATTTATTTTACATATTGGTGAAAAGTAGGTCGAGACAAATATGAGTCAGCACAGCACTGCAATATGGCCAAAACAATTTGAAAAGGGCTTCTAAAATGCACCACACAAACCCACACAATCAACTCCTTTCCATCAGCCTGTCCACTTCAGCCTGGCTAACTAGAAAAACACTGTTCTTGCATCCAAGCAAATCTCATCGCCCTGAAGGGCAGGTCCTCACTGTCATTATTTAAGCTGCATACCAGGTTGGCTAAATATGTTTGTGATGGATTCACTCCCACATCTACTTGGCCGGCAGTGAATTTATCCAATGTTAAAGACATTTCCAAAACTCCTCTTTTAGCAGATTCAGGAGATCCTGCTCTCCCTCCCTTTCTGGATCCCTTACAGACGTGCAATGTTTCACCGGTTCAGACTTTTGTGGGCAGGGCCGTCCATCGGTACGGAGCAGAGCACGGGTGTGGTGACACAGCACACTTCTCAACACGACTACAGTTACAGAATTCATGAAATATTGATGAAAGGAAAGACACACTGGACAAAGTTTCCAGACCCATCAAAACAAAGGGTGAGGTGCAGGGGCTCTACCACCACCCCACTGTGCAGATACTCCAGGTACAGGCAGTCAGCCCTCACCTTCTCGTACCCAGGGGAGTCTCCTAGGCTTGCTGAGGTGAACTGGACCAACAACAAGTGGGAACTACATTAAAATTACTCATAATATTAACAGATAGAAAGCCTTATGCAAACACCACAGATTGAGCTGTGCATCTGCAATGGCTTAATGAGTGTGTGCCCTTGCCCAAAGAAGTGAGATAGCCCCTCAAGATGCCTGAGTTACAAACCTGCATTTGTAAAATGAGCAAACCTAAGTGACACACTTGGGAAGTGAAAGGCAACACAAAGAGAAACTCACAAAACAACTATCAAACACTTATTTTACAGATATGCTAAGAATATTTCTTACAGCTCATGTCACAATTGTGTCTTATGATTTAAGAACCCTATCATGAAAAACGTATCATATTTCATTAAGGTTGTTTGTGCTGAATCATTTAAGAATCTATAATTAAGAGTTTGCCCTTGTGAACAATACTTTTAAAGTGCAATTTCCATGATTTCATACAAATTCAACTAAAAGATTACCTTATTAGTCACTCTTCATAATGGTGTAGTAGAAACACTAATAATCAGCAAAAGTATCTTGCAAGTCTGGAACAGGAACTAGAACTATCCCACACATATGTTCGTGACTGAAATCTCACAGACTGTTCTCAAAAAAAAAAGCTATTGCCATATTCAAGTTTAATACTACGCATTAGCAGAATTACGTTCTTAGGAAAGCAGGACTGTGATTTTCACTTTATAAGCACAATTGGAATTTCTTTGTAGACCTGTATTTGCACTTTTTGAATAGATCTTTTCTACGAATTACAGGCGGAATAATTTGACAATCATTAGTAGCATGGGATTGAAATGTTTCTGCAGGAGTCGGTGCAGTCACCAAACTGCCTGACTCATTCTGAACCTCTACAGGTTTGCCTGGTGTCCATGCAAGGCCTGCTTTTAACTCTTATAAACACACCACTCTGCAGCTGACTGTCTTACAGCGCTCAAAAATTACCAAAAATCTCAAAAAATAAGACATTTGGAAGGGAACGAGGCTTGTAGCAACCTGGCTCAGTGGAAAATATCCCTGCCCAAGGTAGGGGGGTTGGAACTACATGATCTTTAGGGTCCCTTCCCACCCAAACCAGTCTGTCATCTTTAAAGAACGACCCAGCTCACATCGATAGGTGTAACGTGACGAGCCGAACCCCGACTAAGCCAAGCGCAGGGTACCCCAGCAGGGCGTGCGGAGCACCCTCAGCCCGGTCACACTCGGCTCGCACCGGGCAGGGGAGCGGGGCAATGATGCTCGGCCCTGCCCGGGGGCAGCGGCCGTGCTGGGGCCCCTCAGCACCCCCCGGGCGCACCTGTTGGAGTGGAAGCGGTGCAGCGGGTCGGTGCGGTGGCAGGACGAGAGCTGGCAGCCGAAATCGCTGACGTCCAGGCAGCCCTCCTCGCTCAGGCTCAAGCTGCCGCCGCGCGGCGGGTGCTGGTGCGAGAGCAGCGGGCACGGCTCCTCCGGGGCCAGGAACTTCTCGTACGGCTCCTCGGTCATGGCGGCGGGCGCGGGGGCGGCTCGGGAGGCGGCGGGGGCGCCTGGGGCAGGCGGCGGGAGCGCCTCAGGCACCCGGCGGCGGCGGCGCCATCAGCGGCCGGTCCCGGGACGCGCCGCGGTGTCGCGGCGGCTCCTTCCGGCCCCGGCGGCGGCGCAGCGCCCCCCGCGGCGGGGAGGGCGCACGGCGGGGCCATGGCGGCCGTGGTGGGCCACGGGATCGCCGAGGGCGGCGGCGGCCGCGGGTTCCTGGGCCCGCGGGTGCCCGCCGAGGTGGAGGCCATGGCCCGGGCCCTGCAGGACCTGGGCAAGGACACGTTCCGGCGGCTACTCAAAGGTAGGGCCCGGCACGGAGGGGTCCCCGCTGCCCCCCAGGCAGGGACGGGAGGGGTGCGCAGCCAGAGGAGATGGGCAGGAGCCGCGGTCCCCGAGGAGGCCGTGGATCCTCTCGGGAAGGCAAGGACAGCTCTTAGAGAGCGTCCAAAGGAGGGCTGCGAAGATGGTGAAGGGCCTGGAGGGGAAGCCGTGTGAGGAGCGGCTGAGGGCACTTGGTTTGTTCAGCCTGGGGAAAAGGAGACTGAGGGTTACAGTTAAACTTCCTCGTGAGGGTAAGAGGAAGGCACTGTTCCCTTTGGTGGCCAGTGACAGGATCCGAGGGAATGGCCTGAAATAGTGTCAGGGGAGGCTTAGGTTGGATATTAGGACAAGATTCTTCACCTGTAGGGTGTTTGGGCACTGGAACGGGCTCCCCAGGGCAGTGATCACAGCACCAACTCTGATAAAGTCCAAGAAGCGTTTGGACAACGCTGTCGGACACATGGTGGGATTGTTGGGGTGTCCTCTGCAGGGTAAGGGTTGGACTGAATGATCCTTGTAGATCCCCTCCAACTCAGAAATTCTGTGATTCTGTGACAACTGAGGGGCTGCAGCTTCCTGTGTCACTTCCCATCGCCTTTCCCGTCAGGAAGCTAGAGCTGAGGGTTAAATACAACGCCAGGCTTGCTTGGTTGTTTTCTACAATTCTGTAACAACTGTGAGAATGAGGAACAGACTTCTGCAGCTATGGATGGCCCCCGAACTCACGCTGAGTCCTGTTAGAGTTATTCCTCTCTGTCCCTGTGCTCCAGAGCCAGTGGTACAATCACTGTCAGGCTGTGTGTGACAGTCGAGAGCCCGTGGGCATCTTCATAATGTGCAGGAGACAATACAGGAACCTCAAGGTGCAGGTTTCTTGCTGAGATTGGGGCTGTAAGATTGACAATGATTGATTTCATTTTTGTCTATGAGGCTTCTCCCTGTGGTGAGAATTTTCTCAAGGCACCTTTGACCATCAAAATGAGGTGTTGCTCAGTTAAGTAAATTAAGGTATGTAAAATAATCATGGATTAATGGAAGAGTTGTTTAGCAAAGCAAAAGCACAGCTTGTTTGTGGCCAGCTGAGAGGAGGGCAGCTGCTGCCCAGCAGGGGTTTGTGCTGCGACCCTGATATGTTCTCTCAGCTAACATCCTGTCAGGGTTTTTCTTTTTGATTTGAGTCAAGAAGGACTCAAAGTGTCTGGTAGCTGGTTTGTCTCAAAGTCTTGCTGGAAAGTGTCAGAAATTGAGCAATGTATCCAGGGTTTCCTTATAATAATAATTGAAAGTAATAAAGCTACTTATAGGCAGAGTCATTTGGGACAGAAGTAAATACAGATGTTGAACCATATTTGCTGTCTAGTGCAGGGGCCGCAGAGACTGAAAAGCTCTATCAGTGCCAGGCAGCCTGACTGTCTGGGCTTAATTTTGGTGTTAAAGTACATTAAGTCAGGCAAAATCATAGAGGTGTTTATGTGAATGTTCTCAGTCTCCAGGTCTTCCTCTTTTTAAAGAGGTCTTGCTTTGCTTTCTTATTCACAGTCACCGTTAATGCACTGGAAGGAAAAGACTGCAAGGAATCTGTCAAGCTGATTGCAGAGAGTGCTAATCTCTCAGAAGAGCAACTTGCTTTCCTCATTTCTGGCATGTATACCCTTCTCCGAGAGGCGTTGAGACTCCCCATATCAACCTTCAAACAAGAAGTAAGTTCTGGGAGTACTTGGAGCCCTGATAAGTTAAAAGCTGCATCAGACACGAGTTACCATCTAAATCCTATTTGCAAGGGTGGGGAGCTGCACATAAAAATGTTACTCCAAGTCAAAGTTGTTGTAAGAAACCGTTAAAAATCTAGAGCTTATTCTTTCACTTGGATAGATTTATAGTGAGCTTTCTGAAGGCTATTTAAGCTTTGGGAAAAAGATTCCTGTATCTATTTCTGCTTCGGCATCTTGTTTACTGTACATGTTTGTTTTCACTCTGAAATTAAAACCCCCAAAGAAACCATAGCAAAGTGTTATTTCTCAGAAGTCACCGCTCTCTCTTACCCTCACTGGGTGTTCATATACCGCTCATTTTGTCCACACTTATCATTTCTCATATTTCCTTGCCTGCATTTGTTTATATTTCTGCCATAGAGGAAGGAAAGTCTTATGGCCAGAACAGTATAGTGGAAATTGGAATAAAGTGCAATTTCCACTTATACTGAGGATGTTTGGTGTGAATGTGTAGACACCTACTGTGTTCCCAACCCCTCTCCCTTCTTTGTGCTATTTTCTCTCATTTTTCATGTTCCTTGACCTTATATTTTTCCTCTCTCATTTTATTTTTATGTGAGTGAATCACTTCTGGGCTTCCAGCACCTCTATCTTGTTTGAGATGCTGTTTCATATTTACTTAGGCATACTGGAAATGCTTCCATATTGCAGGAAACATAATAGAAATATGGTTTCAGTATTCAGACCTTACCTTTTGCACTTCCTTTCTGTTGTCATAGTTTAAACAAGCTACTGCAAAACATATTTGAGAATAAGGGCACACAGTTACTCTAAAAGAAGAATATGTTCTGGTTAGCTAAGTAAGAGAAGTGGCAGAGAGGTTATTTTGAAAAGTAAAGGCTTCCAAGATATTTAGGTCTTTAAAATTAAATCACAACTTGATGGAACACTTCTGAAAACTCTTCTCAATATGTCACCCGTCATTTCAAAACTACTGGCACTCGAGACTAAAACTTTTGGGGAAAGATACCAAGCAAGTAACCACTATTGATTCACTAGGTAAGAAATGATTTTTTAAGGCTACATTGTGTAAAATTTAACCTTCCTTGTCTTTCTAGGCTTTTAAGGAAGACTTGAAGGAGCTCAGGTATGCCCGTTCTTGCCTGTTTTTTTAATGTTTGTTTTTTCTTAACTTTTACGTAATTGCTTCCCCAAATCAACACAATGAAGTTGGTATAAAAATTACCTGTAAATAGCACATAATACATCTGTTGCCAAGCATCACATAAAGTCAGAGTCAAAAACCAGGTGTTGTGTAAGACTTGATTTAGCACTGAGCATGAGCAGTGAATTTCACATGCTGGGGAGAATGGTCTAATTTAGTCTGTAATGTAGGTTATGCAAATGTGAGTGACCTTCTCTCTGCCATCCCCACCTTGCCCTGCAATATTTTTTAACATGTTTAGTAAGACAGTGGTAGCATTTGAGAAGCTAAGGAAGTGCCCTACTTTTTCACTTCTTTGAAAGGCCAACCCTGCCACCTTGTTCAGCTACGATCTCTCCTGCCCATTTCCCAAGAAATCATAGCCTTTGTTACAGGCTTTGACAAAATCTGTGTCAGTCTCTGCAGAGTATGTCTGAATAGAAGATCATATCCTAAAAGCTAGATATCAGATGCTAATAATATTTGTAGGTTTTCCTTTATTTCTATATTCAGTAGCAGTGACAGAATAATAGTAGTTGATGTTTTCATCTGTAGAGGAACCTCAGCACCAAGGCTCAATTATTTTAAAATGCTCTTTCCCCACAATTCTTAGCATTCTGATTGCTGCCTAGGAGAAATAGATAAGTTTCTAATTCTGTCTTTTTTTATCCATATTTGTCTGTTAACCTGCACATTGGCTTTATCCTTGGGCTCTGCAGAGTCATAAGCATAATTTACTTCATGAGCAACTTCGGGCAAATCAAAGCTGCAGACACAGTCGGGGTGTAATCAGCATAAGGTGTAATTGGGGCCATGATGAAAGGTGCCTTGCTAGTTGATACAGTTTTGTCTGCAGCTCAGTGCTGGAGTTTGGCCTGCCTTTTGTCTGGTGAGCTAAAATGCAAGCTGCTGCCTCTGCCACATCATGGAGTTCACACCCAGGTTAAAGTAGGTCAGTAAGAAACTGATGAATTGCTTTTGACCCAGGGGGAGCTGGTGTTTTTTGAGGTGCCCACAAAATGCGTTCAGTTTGATTATGTAAAAATGAAGAGCACTAAAAGCTCCATGACAGGTTCTCTGGGGGTGAGTAAATATTCCTCTACCAAGCAGTGGACTAAGTTGGTATAGGAGTGCCAGAAGTCACTGGCCAGGCTGGCTGTGTCTAGAAATACAGACTCCCAGGTCCCTGTCCATGTCATTTGACCACATTTTAATGCCTTACACTCTTGTAGTTGTTTGGGGTTTTTTTTCTCACTTTATGGTTTATTCATGCACTTTATTCAGACACTTTTCAGTCCAGAGGATCTTTTTTATGTCTTTTATATGTTGACAAATCTTTTTATCTTATTGTCCTGGTTAACATGACTGATCTAGCAGCAATAGTTCAGGTAGCTGCATTTGAGTTGCTTGCAGACTTGTATGTTTTATGTGCTGCTTGTTGCTGCTATGCTCCCATGATTCTCACAGTACTGGGGCTATTCCTAACTTCCATCTCTGACAGTCTTATTTCCTGTGAGTAGCTTTGTTCCCCTTGTGGCTAAACTTTTAGAAGACTAAGTAGCTTATTCTACTTCAAGTTATGATACTTAGTAGCACCTTTGGCATCTTTGGTTCCTATGGGAAATGTTATTTCCTACATTTCCCAATGCACTTGGGTTTGGAGATGAAATGCCTGCATGTTTTCAAGGCACTTACTAATTATATTCAGACACTTACCTCCTGTAGTGGTTCCTGTGGGTCAACCTGTGAACAAGGGCATGAAGAACACGTACTTCATTGAACAGCAGTGTCTTGGCATTAGTGGCACCCAGTGTTTGGGCAAATATTTTGCAATTTAAGGCAGAAAAATGGCTTATTTCCATTTCTGCGTTGTGTCTTCTTTTAAAAAGTTTGAGCTCTGCACCAGGTTACCATTTTTTGACTTCCTGCATTCTGTTTTGTTTCCCTTCAGTGAAGCTGAATCTTGAACTAATTCCACCCATGTAAAGTCTTGTAATTCTCATAGTACCTGGTCTTGGCTCTTAGTTTTGGTGGAGAGCGAGGCTATGAGACATGTGCACTTCTGATTAATTAGATCAGTACTACTGGTTTCAAAGGGTTACCATTTTATATTCCTTATTTCCTAGCCTGAGTGGCTGAGACAGCGAAAACAAATTCACTCTAAATTGTGGGTGCTATTTTTTTCCCTCCCCTCCCAAGTTATTAAATAACTTCATGGCTCAGGCCAATAACATGGGATTGAGACATACTCACACATTTCTTGCTCTTGGAGTCCCTTCCTCAGACTGTTCCTTTGAAAACTGATTGCCATCTGTACCTCAGGCTGAGCTGTGCCATGTTCTGTCTGATCTGCTTAGTGTGTGACTGGCCTCGTGTAAGCTGCCTGAACCTGGAACAGAATTTACAGCAAAATCATTGACTGCACAGCAAAAATAATGCAAACTCAAGGGTAGTGTTAAAGCTTCTGTTTTAGTAACACTTGCTCTTACAGTTGAGGAAGTATTGTGATAGATACCATAATAATCATAATACAACCCCCTCTCTCCAGCTATTCCACTACATAGAGAGGATAGCCATGGTCAGACTGCGTTAAATGATACACTTGCGTGGACAGTGTAAGTAATGTTTGCAGGAGAAGTCTTGTCTCTTCTGAAAGACAGACTCATGCAGCCAAAAAAGCACCGTTCTAGTGCTTGCTAAAAAGAATTCCTTTTTATCCAAGCACCATTTTAAAATGTGGTGTAACCTCCCTTCTTCCATTAGGAACTCGAGCCGTAGGAACTGCTGTTTCATCTTCCCACTGTGTGAGTTGATGAGTTGGTTTTTCTCCTGTCATTAGACACTGTAAGCTCTTTAGGACAGGTAACTTCCTTGTTTGCTTTGATTTTCCTTTGATGCACTGCTGTGTATCTCAAGCCACTGATGAGTAGTTCTCTGGGCACTGATTCATGGTGAGTGCTGGATTTAACTGTGGCAGCAGCAGTAGTTACTTCTCCCACTTGTCCAACTTGCCTCTCTGTAGGAGGTTACTGTCCGTGTGGCTGAATGGAGAGCGTTTGCTCTGTAGTCTTTGCAATTCACAGCCTGATCTATTGAGCTGAAAATCGACAGCAGCTTGTTTGTGAGGCAACACCAGTGTCGAAGGAATAGTAAAGGAGTGGAGAGGCACAGGGTGGATGAAGTGTGAGTTTGTTACACCAGTCCTCATGTTAGATATGCTCCTTTTCTAAGCAGTCTTAGCTACAAGGGCCTCTGTTTTACTTTTGAGGGAGCAATTCCTTCTATCTTGTTTTCATCATGCTTCAGGTGAAAGTGAAGTGAAATGTGCAGGTTTGGGATTTTTGAAAGCATGCATTGCTGGCCTGACTTCTACACTCGTTAGAGCCATCAGTAAAATTTTTCTTGCCTTTACCAAGAGAAGTTAAGCAAATACTGGGTTCATTTGAAACTCACCATTTCCATACTAGGTAGGACAGGAAGATGTAATAGTTTTTAGGGTTCTTGATATAAAAACACTGGCTGTCCTTTTGAGAGCTCCAACTGAATCAATACTGAAATGCTTACATAAGAGCTGATGGCAGTTTTAAGCAATGGAAGACAGAAAATGTTGTCACATCTTTTGTGTTCTATAATGGATTTAGGTATTTTTAGATACGGCCACATAATTATAGGCACAAAAAACTTAACTGTTTTGTATTGCTCTTCTCTTTCAGGATACCAGAAGATTTCATTGTGGACTTTTCCAGTGTAGTCTTTGGTAACAGGTTGGTGTCTTCATGTGTCATACATTGGCAGGCAGCAGGGTTGCACAGAGCTCTGCTGACACAAATCCCTCGCATCTTGAAGGAACAGCAAAATTTTCTAAATTATTGAGACAAGATTTGTCCCATTATTTTGATTCAGTACAGTATGATGTCCATCATGCATGGCTATATATGCATTAAATGGCTTTCATACCAATTTTCAGTTTTTTCTCTGATCATCATTTTTTATAATGTTCCATAGACTGTGAGATGCATCAATACCTACAGATGAAAAATGCAGTGCAAAATTAAGCATTTTTGCCATCATTATCATTGCAAGTTAGAGCAACAGTGAAAGACTTGCTGTGTTGAGAGGCAAGCTACATGTGCCTTCTATTTGCTGTGGTTCATGGCAGCTTTTTCAGATAGAATTTCATCAAGTCTTAATGTACAGTTGAATTGGGAGTTCACACTGGGTGACTTGACACATATGAGATATCAAATGCTCTGCTAGGTGAAATTCATTTTTTAAGCAGTATTCCTCAGTAGCTCCAGAGGAAGTACTAAATCAAGAGCTTTTTGAACATACAGAAAAAGGGAATCCCAAGAATGGTTCTCTGCTCCATCATATTTAGCTTATTCTACATCTAGAAATTTCTTGAACATTTTGCATGTGGAAAACTTGTGCAGACCAGAAGCTGGACTTCAATGATCCTTGTGGGTCCCTTCCAACTCAGAATATTCTATGATTACAACTTTCTTCCTTGAAACTTGAGGTCACTCAGCACATAGCATCACTAACCCAATGCTGCTCCAGATTCTTTACATAGGATCCTGGTAATCATAGTTGTGGTATTTCGGTTACCCTTACAAGGGTCTGAATGCTGCTACCAAAGTTAAAAATACTTTTCATTTCCTTGATTAAGATCTTGGCTTACAGCTAAAGGTTCTTGGAGTAAAAATAAGTTCAGTCTTCTCATCTTTACTTTGCTCTTTTTTTTGAATTATAGGTGTTAAGAATGCAAAATTCATGGTTGCAAAGTGGAAATATTGTTTGCAGTGGAAAAAGAAGATAAATTTAGATGTAATTTGAAACATGCATGATTGTCTGTTTTCTACTGTGAAATCACGATGCTGGAAAATTTAGCTTTTTCTCGTTTTGAAAGCTGTGATTATCCAGTGTAATCTTGCTCTGTGTTTTGAGACCAGAGAAGAGCACCTCAGATTAGATTTCTAGACAGATCTGCTTTTATAATCTTAAATGTAACACTGAATCATACATTTGCTTACCGAGTTGTAAATATATATGATTGTGATGGTAAGAGATGTATTAGCATCTGATCAAAAATTCAGTATGAGCTAGATAACCCAGAAAAATCCATTTTTAATACTTTTCCTGGCATCTTATCCTATTTTTGGACTTCTGTTCACTGAACAACAGCTCTGAAGAATTTGGCATTTGTATTTCTGTGTCCCCACAATTCCATCAAGCTACATAGACTGAAAGGAAAGAAAAACTTGCCACACTGACACCATCAAATAACTGCATGAAATTAAAACTTTTTTAAGGGAAAGGATAACTCTAACTTCCCCCTCTCTGATTATAACATATGCACTGCTTTTTTTTTTAATAGTGGAGCTTTAGTTTCTACCAGGAGGGTTCATTCTGTGTGCCATTTGTCAGCATTTCACACATACCAGTTTATTCATTCTTCCTTTTCAGTGACCTGCTAGGCATATCTTGTTATGTGCATAGGGAACCATCCAGAACTTGTCTTTAGTTTTGTTAGGTCGGCTGCTGCTCCAAGTTCTCTAATCTTTCATTTTCGAGTGCTCTTGTGTTGCATCCTTTGGCAGATGATGTTCTTGTCACCAGGGGTATCATCCTTTCCACATATAGTTGAGATGATCTCTAGCTAATCCGTGGTCCTTTACTTGTTCTGACTTCTGCCTTTGCAGGATGTGCTGACAATATATTGCAGCTGTTGGTAGAGAGTGTTTATGAAATGTAATTACAGGCTATAGGTTTTGGATATAAGATTCATTGAGTCTTTTCTGCTCCATTTTGCTATTCCTCTTATAAATCATTGGCTTTATTAACAGCCTGTACAATTTCTGTTTGTATGTTGACCACTATGCACATTCTGTCATTCTTGCAGTTCTAGTTTAGTCTTGTCCAAGCTGGGAAGGTCCTGACAGAAGCTTAAACTAAGCCATGAAAGTTGTGACTCTTCCTGAGGGAATGGCACTGAAGTGCAGTCCTGACCAGAAATAAAGCTTCATATTTGGTTACAGAAATGCTGTCACCCAACAATATTCAGAAGCTTCACCTCTGTTTGGGAGGTCACCATTGCTGGCCTTTCCAACCATTGCTAATTAGAACATCTTCCTGTTTTTTCTACTCCTTTCTTCCCCAGGAGTGCTGGTGCTGCTCTGATTGGACTGTCTTCCATTGATGGGAGTTAGCATGTCTTAAGGAAACGGTAGCAGTGTGGCTATTTTTAGGGATTCTCCAAATTAAGCTATTGCAGCTCTCCACCAAGGGAACGGTCTGTTCTTACTGTTTAATCCTGCTAATGACTGTTCTAGACTCCAGCTCCTCATGGTTGTACCCAGCTGTGGTGACCTACTTCCTATCCGGGAGTTGACAGTAAGAACCAGCTGATCTACTTTTTTTTGCTCATTCCTTTACCATACTATTAGGAATGTGTGTCATTTCTGACACCACCCAATCCCCCCACCAAAAGGATAAATTCTTCCTTATATCATCTTTATGAAAAGCAGGAGTATTGGAGGATCTCAGCCTGTCGGTCCTGTGTGCCTTATTGGATCATAAATCTTTCCAGGCAGTTTCTAAAGGCACCAGCTAACTTGCACACAAGCATCTGAGTAGGGATGTTAGAGTGCCATTCCTACAGTCCTTGATTTGTTCAGAGAGGATTCCCTTCTGATGTAAAGTCTGTAATTAGATTATGTCTAGCACCATGGATAAAGGATGTAACGTTTCTTATCCCGCCCTTAGTGGGACTAGTGGAGTAGCTTTGAAATGTACCGTAAATAACTTCCAGGGACATGGGATGCTTAGGAAAAAAAGTAAATATGGTAAGTAACACATAGTCCAGAAGTCCAGCTCCTGAACAGACCAGCTCAATGACCTCATTCTGAAATTATTTCTGCATAGGTATCTGAAAATGAACGGTTGTTATGTGTTTGTATCATATTTGGCTTCTTTGGTTACCCAGAGCTTAAGATGCTGTTCAAACTTTGAAGATTGTCAATCATCTGAAGTTTAATCACTGTCAACTGTATTTCTTTACAGAAGTAAACTAGGGCTTGATCAACCTAATTCTTACTGCAATATGAGTAATAAATGAAGTGCTTGGCTTTTTACGCATTAGATTAGGCAAAAATCTTGAAGGTTGTGCTGGGCTTGGCAGTGCACGTTATGTAAGGAATTTAAAGTTTGTAAATTATGTGGGATTAACAAGAGCCGCTATTTTTTTTTCTAAGTATGCTTCAAAATACACTCAAAAGACACTCAGTATTTCTATATTTTAAAACATTTCTGCTTGACAATACTACATGCTTTTTGCTGAAGAAGTACGGTGACCTTATCCAACTGTTTTGCGTAAGTCATCTGTCTTGTTCCTGCTTGCTTGTTCCTGCTGGATCTACATGTATTTAAAGATATATTTGCAGGTCCCTTTCTATGCCTCATAGTTGCATATAATTGAAATAATAGATATGCCAGCCACCACAGTGACTCTTACTAAACTTTATAGTGACATCAGTTTACTGGAATTACACAGTCACTTGGTCTCTTTTTTCAACATGGACCGTAGTTAAGCATAGGAAAAGGGGATAATCTGAGCATAGCTGTCTTTAATCCACAATACCTCTACTCATTCAGACCTCTCTTAAATGAGGACAGATGTAGGAGAGAAACAAGTTCCAGACAGGTTTGTTCTGAGGAATCATATTTTCTTTTATGAATTTGCATTTCAGTCTCCCATTACTGATTTACTCTTTAGGCGTCCTGCTTCCGAAGGCACAGCTCTGCTACAAAGAAGTAGGCTACCAGCTATCCAGGACTTCAAGTGGAGAGTGGACGTAGCAATATCCACAAGGTATAAAAGAGAATCATGCATGTCCCTGGAAGTTGTTTTACCTAAGGTTAAACTGATTTCTTGGGCTGCTTAAAAATGTTAACAGGGCTAAAATGTATCTTGCTGTTAGGGATTGGCATGTAGCATTAAACAGTAAGATACAGATGGAATTTTCTGAACAGGGTAGAAGTCAGTGTATATACATGTTATTGTTGTTAACATTTCACTCAAAGTTTGAGTCTTATTTTAAAACTTAATGGAGCTGATACAAATCCACAAGCCCCCAGAGATGGATGGAATAAATTAAATGGATTGAGCCTCAAGCAGCCAGGCAAACTCTCAGTTTCACTGGAGTAGGGGAGGGAAATCATCTATGTAACTTCTCAAGTATACTATCATTTTATGTTGCACATGTTAAAATGACTTCCCATCCCCTGTACAGTCTGCTGCAGATTCTACAAAGAGAGGTTTCAGAACAGCACCTTTACACTGCCATAGTTATGCAACTGGTCATTGTACTACCTCCTGGTTTCTTTCACAAAACAGGAGCAAAGGCCTTTGTGATCATCCTGCCTGTGCCTGCAGTGAGTGGCTTCTTGCCATCTGCCAGAGCAGAGGCAGCTGGGGGATGGATCTTTGGCACAGAAACCTGTTGTCTGTGCTGTTTTGATCTCTGTCTAGTTCTAACCAAGACAGACCAAGATGAAATAAATTAGAACATGATCCAGTATTTGTTAGTACAGTAAATTGTTAGCATGAGTGACTTCATATTGCATTCATGGATACCTCCATCAAGGAGAGAGTGCAGCTTCTTTGCTGCCATAGTTGAGAGGCCCATGGGTAATCAGGGATTGTCTTCCTGAAATCAAGAAAAAAGGCTCCTAAGTAAAAATTGTAATGGCCAGAAGCTACTAGTTCAGGTGACTCTGCCAAGCAGTGCTGTAAGCACCACACAGGTATCACTCTGCAGAAAAAAATCTATACCTATAAGAGAGCAAAATGTCCAGATAAACATCCTCAGGCACAGTGCTTGCGAGCTGCAAGCAAATCCTATGATTTGTTTTCCAAATAGCACAGGAGCAATACATTATCCTTTTTTTGTTTTCCTTCCTCTTATTTTCCTTTCCAGTTAACCTTCCCCCTGGGATTTCTTGTTTATCATCCAGCAACAGCCTCTGCAGAGAGGTATGGTGGCTTCTGGCTGTAGTGCCTGTCAGTACCTGAGCAGGCTTTGGCAACGTCAGTTGATGGAAGCTGCACAAGAATGACTCATTTCCCTTCTTTGGGTCATCAAATAAAATAACAACACACAAATTTAGCATAAAGACTGGAAGAGCTTGATTCCCCAGATGAGGTGGCAGTTGAAAATATGAGGGGATGGACAGGATGGTAAACTGCATAAGAAAACTGTGTGTTATTATTAGCAGTACTTGGTCAGCTCTCATCCCTATCATAGTTCCACTACATTGATTACGTAAAAACAAAAAAGCTCCTAAACTTCTAGTTGCTAAAGTATTAAAGAAATGTTTAGTCTCAATACTGAGATAAGTTGGACAGTACTCTTATGTTCATGAGTTTCCAGCCAGACGGGTAAAGGACTCTGAGACTGAAATTACTCATGTTCTGTGTAAAGCCTACATGAACATCTAAAATGGTTAATGTGCAATGCTGTAGTCATCACACTGCTGATGTCTGCTGCTGTAATACTAATAATGTAAATAATTTCAGCTCACTGGCCCGTGCACTTCAACCATCCATTCTGATGATGATGAAGCTTTCAGATGGGACAGCTCATCGCTTTGAAGTAAGTCTGATTGCCATAATAAATAAAAAAGAAACTACTTGAAGTTTTATTTAGAAAGTTGAATTATTATTTAAAATACTAAAGCTCTTTTAAACAATGCATTACCATTGCTTGGTTTGCTTTGGAATCCATCATGTTCAGTGTAGCTGCATACAATATATAATGAAACACCAACCAAAATCATTTCATACCTTGTTCCTACGCACATTCTGCTGAAATCTAATCTTTTAGAAGAAAATGACTGAAAAACACTGTTGCACAATATCTGGTTTGATTAAAAATTATGGGGTTGTTATCAACTGTAACCATCAGACCTGAAGGTGGCTTTTGAGGGCAAGAAAATTACTGGGGTAGTTTATATAAGGTATGATACACTTCTGAACCTGCATTTTGCAGAGAATGATAACATTCTCTTCTGTGGCAGAGGTAGTTTTATTCTTTTTCTTCAGTACCATTCTTGCTGCTAGAAAGTAAAAAAAAAAACTCTTTGACCTCAGAATTAGTCAGTGGCAGTATTTATGACACTGTACCTAAAGGCTTGCCAGAAGATGGCATAAACTCTTCCGTAATTTTAACCTTTGAAAAGAAATGCTATTTGTTCTATAAATAACATGGTGGTGCATACAGGAATTCAGTGCACAGCAGGCATTGTTACATTTGAACTCTGTACAGATTTTGGCTTCAGTTCCCGGGTTAGTAGTAGTCTGGAAGGAGCACCAAAGCCCTGTGGGTTGAAAGAGGTGAACTGGTTTTACTGTTAAAATGTTGTGCAAGAAAGCAGCTGTTGAGGAAGGCATAAATCTGTGCTACACTGCAAAATGTTGAGGGTATCACTTCACAGGAGATCAAATTTACCACTCTGGACGGTCCAGCTCAGAGCATCCCATCAGCTCTGTTTGACATCTTCCATGGAACTTAAATGATGCCATGGATGTCAGGTTAACCCTTTACAACAGGGTAAATTTCATTTTTGAGAATAAAAGCTAGTATATATTCTTTACTGTTTGTATCTGGGGCTTTATTTCCTGGCATATAATGTCAAGTCTTCATCTTGGTGCTATTGTTTCTGGTTGTTTTGGTTTGATTTTAGTTGGTTTTTTTTCTTGTAAGTCTGTGGAAGACCCTTTGCTGTTTGACAGTGGAGGTGTGTTTGTCCAGAACACATAGCAGTGCAGATATCTGATAGCAAGCAATGTGCTTCTCTTAGAATCAACTTTTGCTGCTGCTGCTTAGATCTGAATGCCAAGGATTTGGCTGTAAACACGATTTCTGTATCTGATGAGTGGTCTTCCCACAGTTAGTGGGGATAAACCTGTGTTTTGGTTCAAGGTGCCATGTGCAAGCAAGTATAGTCCTCAACTCTCCGGTTTCCTTTCATTTGGACATGTTCAGAATGTCCTGCTAACTATCAGGGCTTATGTAAGATGGTAAGTCCAGAATTCTGTTGTGAACAGTTTTAAAATGTGTCTGGCACAGGGAGAAGTTACACTCTGGTTTCTGGTTTTTTAATCACAGTGTGACTTCTAACTGAAGATTTTTTTCAAAAGCAGTGGGAATTGCAGCATTTTGAGTCTTGTTGTATGTATGTCCAAAGTGAAAAGGACATGGTGTCTTTTTATGCATTTTGGATGTATGTGGAAAATGCAAATCAGGTGTTGGATTCCTCTCACATAATTGATATTTGTGCTACAGTAGGCAGAAGGATGACAAGGGTCTCTGTCAAAAGAACTGCTGTCTTTGGTGTAGCCAGAGCTGTGGAGTAAATTAGGCAGAGCTCTGCAGAGCAGCATGGGACCAGCTAGACTGGGATGGGCACTCTTGTGAGCACATGTGTTTGTGCACTGCCCTGTTGTTAGTCTGTACCATGCCATCTGTGCCTGTGCTCAGGTGTGGATCTCTGTCTTAACACATAACAGATTTCCATCCACTTGGCTTCTCAGGCTTGAAATGGTAGAGTCCATAAGTCTCCTGCACAGCTGAAAATGCTTTGTATGTTCAAGCAAAGTCTTGTGCCTTCCACATATAGACACTGCCCAGTGCCCTTTGCTCTTGAGGTTGCTACCAAGTCTCTTACCCCAAGTCTCAATTCCTTTCTCTTGCAAGTTTGGACAAGCAATATCTGGAATTTGTGTTTGAGAATTTTGTAGGCTTCACAACATTCCAGATGTCTTTGTTTTTCCTTCCAATCCAGGACTCTTACTTCACCACAGCAGTCCTCAGTTTACATCCTGTAGTATTTCCTTTCTTCCATCAGGCAGTACAGAAAAGGTACTATGTAGCTGTTATTTCTGGTTTTTTCCACTCTCCTTTTCCACATGGATTTAGTTGAATTAACTGAATTTTATTAACCTCAAATCCTTTGTGTTAAATCTGAAAAAACCCGTATTTTAAGAGAGATTGCGCTGACACTGCAATGTTCCCTATCCATGGGCATGCCCTAGTGAAAGTTCGTAAGATGTCTTTTGTTTCCTAACCTGAATATTCTGTTTCAGGTGCCAGTTGCAAAGTTTCAAGAATTGAGATACAATGTTGCCCTTATACTGAAGGAAATGAATGATTTGGAGAAGAGGAGCATACTGAAGATCCAAGACTGAACACTTTTAAATTGGGAGTTTATGGAAGAGACCTGGGACCCTCAGCGTGTTTTGTGAATGATAGAGCAGGGGATCATCACCACTTTGCCTGTATGAACTTCAATGTGACATTTATGATGTCTGCTGTAAATATTTTTTTCAATTCAAGTGTTTAAAAGCACAAGCTCTTTTTGTAAGACTTAGGAAAACCAAAAAATGTATCTGTGAAAAAGTATAATGCTGTTTGCGAGCATTTTGCATGATTCATCAAAACATTTTTTAAATAACTGTCTTAATAGATGTAAGAGTCATTTATTTCTGATTATGATTCATCACTTTAATTATTTTTGAAAGTCTGCTACCGGAAGCCCCAGCAATGTGTATGTATCACAAGAAAGCTCTGCAATACTTCAAATAAAAAATAAAATAACAACCCCACTCCTGCCTTCTAGTATGACAAATGAAATCTTGAGTTTTGCATAAGTAAAGTTGTTGTCTGGCTTCTCACTAAGTGACTAAGGTATAGCTACAGACATTTAAAGGCTAATTTGAAAGACAACTGGAAACCTGTGGATCAAGAACAAAGTATCAGCTGAGCTTCCAGGACTAATTCCATGGAATTACAGAAGTGGGAAGGTGCAGTCTTAAGTCTTTATCTGGTTGATCATAATGGGCTAAATAGCAGTCATCTCATAGGTTTCTAAGTGGAAATGCCTGTCTCTTTTTTCATGTATTGCCTGTATGTTTGATTGAATGAAATCAGCTGGCATGGGTGGACAGAAACCTCTGGGCCCGCAGTGATGGCAAACAGTGGGAGGCAGTGACCTTGTAGCCCACGACACCACAGACTCATTACCTGTGCAGGTCAGACCCCACGATGGAGGGGCTGCCTGCAGCCTCTGGGATGAAAGTCACAGGTGTGAGGATATCCAAGCCCCCGGGTTGAGAAAGAAGTTAAGCACAGGCTGAAGTTCCCTGAATTGCTCCAGCAGTTGGACTGGATGGTCATTGTAGGCCCCTCCCTTCAACAGAAATAGTCTATTCTAAGTTATTCCTTTGCCCCACGAGTTAACCTTGGAAGGACCCCCTTAACTCAAAGCATATGTTTTAAGTCTCATTCAAATGCTGTGGGACCACAAGTATGTCCCTAAGAGTTTTGCCAAGAAGGGATGCATTCCTCAGTCCTTGCCTGAGTGAGTTTTCCCCAGCAGCAAAGATATGGAGGCTGTGAGCAGTGGCTCAAAGACAGCATCCTAGAACTGGAGGCTTTGTCTGGCTGTCAGGTGTACTTTAGAAAGCACATGCTACAGCCACTGTTAAGCCTTTGCTTATTCTAGCTAATTGCAGGGGTTTTGTCTCAGTAGTACCACCCATACTTCTCTCTTTCATGTTTTGTGATTATAGAACTTGCCTTTATCTTCCTCACCCCCTGCAGAAAACTACTGAAATTAAAATTGTGGATTTGGGAGGCCTTTTACACTCCCACAGATGTTTGTGTAGGAAAGGATGACTTGGCTTTTGGATTTTAAAATTCACAACAAGCATAGTAAGGCTTATTTGTCACACTTTTTAAGAGGAGACTTCTTTAACAGCAGTCCATACCAATCTAAAGATAGCTGAATAGCTCTGGTCCAGAAAGCTTTTAAAACCCGAGCAAGAACGTGTCCTGTAGTTTCAAATAAACCATCAGTCACGATTTCAAATTGTTTAAAAGCTGCGTGTTCCATTTGCTTTGTAGGGGATTCATCAATAACTTCCAGCTTTGATCCACGATGCATCTTAGCTATTGTGTTCAGGGAACACCAAACACCAAAGCACATAAAGAATTAGCTCCTGTACCTTCAAGTGGACTGTGGATTGCGTTAATTACTCTGTGGAGCTTGTTCGTCTTCTTTCTGAAATTACATTATCATGAGCTGTGAAACAAAACATAGATCATGATGTTCCTTGCTACAACCTTTCCCTTCTGGATGTTTAGGTTTATAAGGTTTCAAACTGCAAAGATAGCTCAAACTGAGCCTAAGTGAAGTCTTCAGACAAACAGAATGCTGCATAAAAGGACCTGTTCCTCAAGGCATTTGCAAAGTAGTTTTTTACTGGTCAGAGTAGAAAAATCCATGAATACCTTTACCTTCTAGACAGAATATATTAATTCAGTTGTTCTCCTGTAACAGTAATTGCCCATGTTCTCCAGAAATGGAGAGCCTTCCTGACTGTGTGAACATGAGGAACTCTGACTGGGTTCTTCGTGTTCTCTGGACTGCTTGGTCTCAAATTTGTCTTGCCACACATTAAGCAGGAGTTTGCTGTAATTGGAGGTTTACCGTGTATGCTGAGGGTACTTAACACTTGGGATGTACATTCCTCTGTACTTTAAAGTTAATTTGGGCTTTGCTTCTGACAGATTAGCTTTCCAGTAAAACAAGTTGTCACCCTAATGGCTAGTGGGAGTGCATAGTGGATAATTCCTCAGTTTTGATAAAATGTGAGTCTTCAAAGAACTGTTAGGTATCTCAGAACTTCATGGCAAACTACATGTTAAATATTTGTTCAATGCTGAAATATCTTACTCCTTCATTATTAAAATACTCTGGAATTTGAATTCCATTGAGTTTGTGACAGTAGCCCTTTCGTTCTAGTACAGAACAGAAGTAACCTTCTAAGAATCTGGATACAGCTGAACAGAAATTATTTTACCCAGCCCGCTCTAGGTTTGGTTACACTTCAAGGACTCACTGTGAATCCCCCTTCCAGTATCATGCGGTGAAAGATACAACCTCAGTGGGATGCTCGCTTTGTCAGTCCTGAGGTCTTGTCAAGCTGATCACTAGTCAGTCATCAATTAGGCAGGCAGGGGTTTGCGTGGGAAGGGCACTGAGGTTTTTTCTTATTACAGTTCATGGACCAGTAGGTAACAAGAACCTTTCTCAGGCTCTGTTGGTATTTTTCCCTGAAAAACAACCCTCCATGATCACGTTGCTCTCTCTATTGGTGCTTGCATTTATTTAAACTGGATAATGTGTTTGCATCTGAATTCTAGTTATTTTCTAACCATGGCATATGAACATAAACTTCTCCACTACACTTCTTCTTTAATTTCCTTTATAGTTTATGGAACGTTAAGACTTTTTTTTTAAAGATTAATGTGTCAAAATACATTTAAAATAGAACTTGGACTTTGCTTTTCAATGTATATTATGTGTGTATGATAGCAAAGACACCCAGTACATGAAGGAGTAGTCACTGCAGGCAGAATGCAAAAGGAGAGGTAAAGATAGTTGCCAAAAGCCATCCAGAGATTCAGTGGCAAAATAACCCAGAAGAACTGATATGTCTTTCCTTCCTGTTCCCTATCTGTAAGTTAGTGCAGCTTCCTGACATGCTGGTCAGGCCTCACACTTGGTGGTTTTTTTAATTATCTCAGCTGTATGGGCCATCAGTCCAAATCTGTTCTTGCTTATGGACTACTACAGTGTGGGGAGAGCACTTGAGAATAAAAAGCCATCTGTGGCTGTATTTGTGATGTGACTTTTCACATCCCTACTTCCACTAGAGAAGGAGCTTTGTCAGCGTGACTGGTGGGGTGGAATTTCACACTCGGGTTCGTTGTGTTTGAGAAAGATGCAGGTTTATTGATGGCTTTTGTGGTCTCAAAGCCTGATGCAGTTTATAGATCCAGAAGAAGGCTGAAGAATGTAGTCATGCTCTCATGCTGCCTGTTATGCCAGCCATTAACTGCTGGAAGGAGATCAGTATTGTGCTCATTGTCATTAAAAGGAAGAAATTAAACCTCCCTTTGTAGAAAAATCATACAAGGGAGATGTGCTTTTGCAGAGTGAGTCACCTCCTCGCTTTAACTTCTTCTGTTTAAGTGAAGGATAAATCTGTTCTTGATCTCATGAACAATGCAGGTAGGCAGGAGGGTGCTTTTTTCCTTTTTCTTTTTCCTTTTTTTTTTTTTTTTGCTTTCTAATCAAGTACACCTCATGACCTACTGCTGCTCCAAATCCATGAATATATGTATGAATGTATGAAAACTCCGTGCTTTCAGGATGTGTTATATAAAAACACCCCGGCATATCTAGATTATGTATGTTCAATTCACACAGCTGTTTTTGCTAAAAAAAAGTCTTTGCAGAGCCAGGCCTGATGTCAGAATCAAATATTTTGTAGTTGTTTGACTTCTAGTGAACAGTAAATTAGTATCTTGGCTTTAAAGTATTTTGCTTTTAGTGACTGTACAGGTCACTCTGTACCTGTCACACCCCACCAAGTACTAACATTTACCAAACACCACACACATACCAGGAACTAGCAGAGGCAGAGCCAGCTGGTTTCTCCCCTAGGAAGTCACAGAGTTGTTGCCTGTAGGCCATCTGTGATAAGGTCTTAACTGTTTTCTGGCTTGAGATAAGAGTCTGTGTTCTGAACCCTTCTAAGCACACAGCTTCCACCACAGGAGTAGTTCATAAGCACAGCTTCCCTTTTCCCTTGAAACGTTCCAGCCACCTCCCTGCTGGTGGAAGAGAATTCCCAGAAGTGCATTTCACAGTGCTTTTTTGAGACTCGTTTGAGTCCAGAGCATCAGCCAGCCCTGCAGATGCTTTCATACATTGCAAATAGGAACTGTGGAAGTTCCTTTCAGAGTGCAAATGCTGATTACATTTTCTATGATAATCTATTCCCCTTCCCTATCTAGAATTCGTGTGCTGCTAGAAACCCTCCCTTTATACCACGACTTATCTCTTTAAGTGTCTGCTATGTAACTATGTAAATACTGGTGGCGTATCCCTGATAGAGAGATTGTCACTGCATTGCTACTGGTAACCAGTGGTTATGTCACTTTCCCTCGCTTGAATAGGCTTTGACTCATAGTGGTTTTCAGGACAATGGTTATAAAATAACACACTGAGGGGTTGCCGAGACTATAGTTTTGCAATAGAGACAACTGCCGACCTCAAGGCTGCAAGAAAGCATTTTTCTTCTTTTTTTTTTCTTAAGGGTTTTATTCTTTTATAGCATGAGATTTTCTTGCATGGAAGTTTGGAAAACAAGAAGTCTATGTCAGCAAGCTGGAGTCTGGTGGGAAAACCCCACACTCCCAAGCTAATTCTTTCTAGCTGTTCTGAAGCGTTGCTTAACTGAAATTTTAAGTGCTTCAGCTGTCCTACCTTTCTTTGAATTACTTGCTGTCCAGCTGTGCTATACTTTAGATTCAAATATGATTTAAGTGATGGCAGAAAGAAGTACTGAAACCAGTGGTTTTTAAATCCTTTTTCCAATTAAAGGATTTGCCTAAGAACAACAGTTAGGTATTGAACTCATTAATTCAAAGTGTATATTATTAAAAGTTAAGATCCAGAATTTAAGCGGCTTTAAGTTGTTTTTTATCTTGAAGTTCATCTGAACTTTGTCAAGTATCCTCTCTAAACAAGGTCTTACAAACCTCATGTTCCCTCTCCTTTCTTCCATCTTTTCTCCTGTCCATTCAAGCTCCATAGGCAGGGCTTGTCCCTTAATACCTGCTTAGCTCACACAGTCTAAGCTGGGGAGTCCAGACACTTCTGTAAGTAGGAAAATGGAAATTTATTCCTTCATCCTGTCCCTTGAGCTTCATGAGGAGGCAAGTAGTATCAGTAACAGGACATCCTCAGAAATTTCAAATTCTGCAGTGGATTTCAAAACAGCATGAAAAGTGCCCCACATTTTTAGAACATTTGAAAGTGGATGTATATATAACATAACATGGACGTTTCTGGTAACTGTAGATATGCACGAAACTGCAAAAAAAAAGCATTTGACAACTTCTTTTAGAACAACTGCTTCTTTTCGATAGTAGCACAGGTGATTTTCTCCCTAAGCTACATTTAGCACAGACAGTTACACAACTAGTGCGATCCTCTCATCTAACAAGAATTGGTGGGAATGTGCAGATTCAAACGGTCAATGCGGCTGGTCTTGAATAAAATAAAGATACATCACAAGGCATGTGCTTTTTTCTAGAATCCGGCATGGACAGGTAGAGCTATGCAACATGCCATGCCGTAAATAAATAAACCCAATAAAACTAAATAAACCCAACATTTTCCTTCTAATGTTTTCCTTAGTTGCCCTAAAAGCACGATTACCTGACATCAAAATAGCTTCACCACTACGTAGATTCCCTGAAAGGGATCGATTAACCGTGCAACTACAAGGCTCTACAATTCCAGTTCTAGCAGGGAACGGCATTTCAAAACCTCTTTGAACCGGTGCTTCCTCCGTGTCACCGGCGGCACCAAAACGCCGAGCCCGGGAGCGAGCCCCGCGTCCCACCAGCGGGTCACACCGAACTCCGAGCACGGGGCGCTCCCTTGGCCGCGCGGCTCCAACCCACCCGCCGAGGGGCGGACGCGGCCGGGCCGGGAGGTCTGAGGGGCCGGGGTGGGTCTGAGGGGCCGGGTGACCCCTCACGGGGTGGGGGGAGCGGGGTGGGCCGGGCCGGGCCGGGGCCGGCGCGTTACAAAACCGCCTGGTTTTGTAACAACCTGC